ACTAAAACAAGCACGCAAAAATAAAAATAAAATTCCTCTGGCACAGGCAGCAAGACAAAATGTCAAACAAATAATACAAAAGGCCAAAGACCAGGACTGGCACAATTTCTGCAGCAACCTAAGCTTCAAAACAAATTCCAGAAAAGTCGGGAAAAAAATAAACTCAATGAGGGATAAAAATAGAAAACAACATATTCCAGTTATAAACAACAATAGAAACAAAAAGCTGAAAACATTGCCAACCAATTTGCTTCAGTTAGAAGAACTGCAAATTACAGTCAACAATTTCAAAACAAATCTCAAAAAGCAGCAGCGTACAACATGCAAAACCCCAAACGCATCTAACCTACAATAAACCTTTTACTGAAGTGGAACTTTACAACGTAATCAACCACAAGAAAGGTACTGCTCCAGGTCAAGACAATGCCAGCTATATCATGTTAAAAAACGCCCCTAAACCATTAATAAACCAACAACTAAAACTTTATACTACAGCTTGGATAAACGGTAAAATACCAAAAGCCTGGAAACACTCCATTATCATAACCATACACAAACAAGGCCAAGACGTAAACAAAGCCGAATCATATCCATATCGGCCAATATCTCTAACATCTAACATATAGGTGTCCTCCCATTACGCATCCAGCCAGTTTGCAGACACCTTAAAACAACAACATTTACGGTTCAGTGAACAAATTATCTACTACCTGTTGCCTACACATCATAATGGAATAGTCCAAATAAAAACACAGGAACAAACTAAAGCTATGTTATTTACTTTGAAAGATGGATGAAAAGACAGTAATTTGAATTTTTATTGCTGCAATTTATTTTCATAAACATTTCGGTTTAACCTTCTAGTCTAACGGGAGTCGGCATCATCATATTGAAAACATTAGCTCAGCTATTAGAAATTGCGACACTGTTGTATCATATAAATCAAATAAAGACAAATGTGAACCTAAATATTATTCATATGGAATAAAGAAGTTATATGTTTTGCACACAATATTAAGATATATGACGAGTGCACTTACTTACGATTTATTTAGAATAAATATTTACAATATGACGCATCATGTGAATGTGGCCATGGATGTCCATTGTATTCTACTCAAAGACATAAACTGTTACAATCTTCAGAAAGTATTGTTAAAATTAGAACACTGATTGGTATTAATCGTACCTTACATGGCAATGCAGGTGTCTCATTTACTGCAAATCAGAATGTTTTCAAATATGTACATATCTATATCTCTCCAACAAAGCGTTTTCTCAGTTAACTTCTGTTGTACGCTATTATTGGGAGGGGTCTTTTCTATCAATATACACAATCAAACCTCTCAGTGGCAAATCTGTTTTTATATTCAATAGTAATTGATAGTAAAATCAATTTTGAGAAGAGAAACATTTATCATTTAATCACAACAAAGTTCTATTTACCCACAATCAAACTTCTCAGTAACGAACCTGTTTCGGGCCCACCCTGCTCTACTCACAAGACAGTAGACTGTTCCATTATGCCCATAGGTGCTACCCTAATTAACCTTCTAGTTCAGTGTCTGTCAGTTGGGTGTCTGTCAAATGGGAGATAACCAACATATGCAAAACCATGGAGGGTATTGTTAACAGCCGCCTCACACAATATCTTGAAACACAAAATCTATATAATACAACTCAATCAGGCTTTCGCAAATACTGCTCCACCATAGATCATCTAGCACAAATCCATAACTCAATCAGAACTGCACAAAATACAAAAAAATACACACTTGCAGTCTTTTTGGATTTCTCCAAGTCCTTTGATATGCTCTGGAGACCAGGTGTCATAAAAGAATTACAAAGAAAAGGTTTAAAATGGGCACTTCTAAATTTTGTATCAGCCTTTCTAACAGAGAAACGCGTGAAAAAATTGATACCCGAAATGAAACATGCCAAACTCCTATTAAAAATGGACCAACCCGTGGCTTATCAAGTGTTTGCTTAGCAAAATCTTGCAGATTCAAGCAAAATTCTAGCAGATTCAAGCAAGATTCAAGCAAAATTCAAGCAAAATGTTTAGCAAATTGAATGTATCACCTCCATAAACATATATCAAACCATGATATTTGAAATTTTCGTTCTTTTTAACCTAACATTTCCTATCATTATGTTTGGGTTATGTCAGATTTTGTTGTATTAGATTTAAAAATTGATTGATGTATTGCAAGATGGAGTGCGACGACCTGCTCGAACAAATGTTATCCGAAGAATATAAAAATAGTACTGATGGAGGAGGTACACCTCCCTTCATCACGAGTGTGGATAAGCGAGAAAGACTCCCTCATCATCCGTGGTAAGGAAAAACATTACTTGGGTGAAAATATCACCACCGATAAAAGTCATAAAATGACCGATGGAGAAATCAATAAACTGTACACGAGATACGAAACCAGACTCGGTACCGAAATGACGAAAGCCATAGGGTCAGCCATGACGCAACTTTACACTGGCTTAGCTTCGTATTTCCTTCCCATTCCACCAGAATGTCGATTGTACTTGTGCGAAGCTCTCGACGCAGATCCGTTCATTGGACATGCTTTGAGTAGTATCATAGATATGGGATGTTGCTCGCTCTGATAACTGCGGCAATCATCATGGCAAAGCATTGCTGTTTTAAACAGAAATGCTCGCCTACAGATATACAAGATGATGGAGGCGAACCTCGAAGCGATTCCACCTGCTGTGGAGGTGGAGGAGACGACCCCCAAAGTATTTATTGATACTGTCACAAAGAAACAAAAAAAAACTAAAAAAGTAGCCGCCGGTAAAAAAGGTGGGTTAGCTAGGCATCATAATAAACCGATGAATAAACGACTGTGGATTCCGTACACTGTGGCAGCAACTTCGCGGGTATCGCCGCAGCTGCATGGTTATATAAAACGATGAAGCCAAAGAAACATCCAATGCAGCCGAAATAGAGGCGGAACGGAAACGTCCGAATTTAGCCATGGAGAAATTACAAGCCGCGCAAGCCTACTATGCGAAAAAACGAATGCAAAGAATGGATTTTATTCACGATCAACTCCAACGATAAGGTCACGCTGTGCTAACGTTTCAGGATGTAAACGAGGCCATGCACGAGTATTATCTCATCACGGGAAAACAATTGGAACCCCTCGGAGATGAACCCAACCTATCGGAATATTACGCGCCTTCTCCAAATCAGAAAAACTGCGAGGTGATCTTCGTGGTGTTAGGTCTCGCCACGACAGACTTAATCACCAAGCAATTAGATTTACGTATATCTAGGTGCATATAGATAAGCAATTAGACTAACGTATGTCTAGGTGCATATATAAAAGCGAAGATGAGACCCGCTCCATATCGTTGCAAATACGTGCTTCTTGGAAAAGCCGAAACCTGCGACAGGAAATGCTCAACCAAATACTGCGGCATACACATGATGTCTGTCAGAAAGGGATTCATAAACTACACGTGTTCGGTATGCGGTATTGGAGTGAAATGCCATTATGATTTGTGTAAAACCCACGGAACAGACGTGATCTGAAACCAACTTATTTATGACAAGAAAAAAGATTATCTCAACGAACATAATTGACTATTCAGAATGAAAATTAAAAAAAATAAAATTCCTTTTTCTCTATTAAAGAATAAATATGAACAAAACGATATAATGGATAAGATTTACTACAGCCTGCGGAGCTACTGGAAATGTGCAAGCGCTATCCCCAAGCTTGTCGAAGCTGCGAAAGTCTCTGAAGAGACCGCTAAGGCTTGGTTGGAAAAACAAGCCTTATGGCAAATTTACTTGCCACCTCCTCGATACATCCCGAGAAGAAGTTCGATGTATCGACACCCAATCGAGTTCATCGACCTTTTGCTTCTACCGCACGATAGGGTGAGACGCAAAACATACAAATATGCCCTGACCATGGTGGATGTGGCCAGTAGTTACAAAGAGTAAGAACCACTCACAGCAAAACATTTGGCTCAAGTGGCTAAGGTACTGGAACGTATTTACAAAGGAAGCCCTTTAACGTGGCCTGTAAAATTACAAGTCAATCCCGGACATGAATTTATGGGCTCCGTGTCGCAACTGCTGTCCAAACACAAAGTCGAGGTCAGGCGCGGGTATGGTGTGAGCGCATCGCAGCCAAGCCATTGTCCAGAGATTAAACCGAACATTAGCCGAACGCTTGTTCGGACACCAGTACGCCAAAGAAATGACAACATCTGAAAAAAGGGTCGTGCGTTTACTTCAAGTGGTAAGGCAGATCAACAACGAATGACGCGACTCATCAACAAAAAACCTGTCAAAGCCATTCAAATGAAATCGGTGACGACTGAATCGGCCGCACCACCAAATACAAAAACAAATTAGGAACTGTCGGGTCGGGTCAGCATGAGGTATTTATACCAGCCCGGTGAACTCGAAGGAGTGGATCAACGTCATGCCACGGACCCCCGTGTGGTCCATGAATCGATCAGATCAGTGCACATACCTGTACTTAAGTTATGAAATTTATACCCCAATGTGCATGGTGGCTTCAGAGCCCATGAACATGAGACCCAAAGCTTTTGAGATATTGTGTGGGTTTCATGTTTTGCATGTACAGTACAGTATACACAGTTATGATAACAAGTTGGGAAAAGTTTAAAAATTACACTTTGATTAAGATAGTGATGAATTAATACTCATGTGTATATATAATAATGAGGCAGTTAGGACCAGAGAATATATTTGGAAATCAGTACATTTGACAACATGGCCCTTGAGATGATGGGATCCAAATGTATATCGTTGAATTATGTTGTGAAAGTTGTAGTTTGCAATTCAGTTTGTAATTTATTCAATAGTCAAAAAAAACAATTGTCAAAATTTTGTAACAATTCCTTTGCCAAAGCTAAACCAATTTCCAAAGTTGTTCCTGGCCCTCAGTGATTGCTTGTTTATTTCGTTGTAGTGATGTGTTGTATTTTTGTTTTTGTTGTAGAATGTAATCGTAGCAAGCTTGTATCTCAGGGAGCACTACCAGTGTTGGTGGAGATGCTACATTCTTCTGATGAAGAGATCCAGTATTATTGTATTGCTGCTCTCAGCAATGTTGCCGTCCATGAAAAACATCGAGCTATGATGGTAGCTATTGGCAATCATGATGTTATTCTGCAGCTGATTAGTTTATTGTACTCCAGACAAGAAAAGGTAGGAAGGATGTCTCATATGCTACATTAATGAAATGTTGTCAACCACTTGCACTGAAAGTGTGAGCTGGTTTTTGCAGTACAATTTAGATGCAATTCCTCAGAGAGTGCCTGCATAAGTACCTGAATGTTACAATGTGACCTTCAGGTATTACAACTGATTTCTAATTATACCCCGCCACGGCGAAGTAACGGGGGTATATAGCGTTCATTCTGTCCGTCCGTCCGTCCCGAAACTTTGTCCGGAGCATATCTCTTAAAGTTTACATGCTAGGTTCACCAAACTTCACACACATGTTAATCATAACCCATTGATGTGCCTTTTGCTATTTTAATTTTTTTTCAGAATTTAGTTTTTTTGCTGTTTCCATGGAAACACGACTTAGTGCCAAATGTGTTTGGTGGTTTTTGTCCTGAGCATATGTCTTAAAGTTTACATGCTAGGTTCACCAAACTTCACACACATGTTAATCATTACCCATTGATGTGCCTTTTGCTATTTTAATTTTTTTTCAGAATTTAGTTTTTTGCTGTTTCCATGGAAACACGACTTAGTGCCAAATGTGTTTGGTGTTTTTTGTCCGGAGCATATCTCTTAAAGTTTACATGCTAGGTTCACCAAACTTCCATGGAAACACGACTTAGTGCCAAATGTGTTTGGTGGTTTTTGTCCGGAGCATTTTCTCTCAAAGTTTACATGCTAGGTTCACCAAACTTCACACACATGTTAATCATTACCCATTGATGTGCCTTTTGCTATTTTAATTTTTTTTCAGAATTTTGTTTTATTGCTGTTTCCATGGAAACACATCTTAGTGCCAAATGTGTTTGGTGGTTTTTGTCCGGAGCATATCTCTTAAAGTTTACATCTATGTTCACCAAACTTCACATACATGTTAATCATAACCCATTGATGTGCCTTTTGCTATTTTAATTTTTTTTCAGAATTTTGTTGTTGTTGCTGTTTCCATGGAAACACGACTTAGTGCCAAATGTGTTTGATGGTTTTGTCCGGAGCATATCTCTTAAAGTTTACATGCTAGGTTCACCAAACTTCACACACATGTTAATCATTACCCATTGATGTGCCTTTTGCTATTTTAATTTTTTTTCAGAATTTAGTTTTTTTGCTGTTTCCATGGAAACACGACTTAGTGCCAAATGAGTTTGGTGGTTTTTGTCCGGAGCATATCTCTTAAAGTTTACATGCTAGGTTCACCAAACTTCACACACATGTTAATCATAACCCACTGATGTGCCTTTTGCTATTTTAATTTTTTTTCAGAATTTAGTTTTTTTGCTGTTTCCATGGAAACACATCTTAGTGCCAAATGTGTTTGGTGGTTTTTGTCCGGAGCATATCTCTTAAAGTTTACATCTATGTTCACCAAACTTCACATACATGTTAATCATAACCCATTGATGTGCCTTTTGCTATTTTAATTTTTTTTCAGAATTTTGTTGTTGTTGCTGTTTCCATGGAAACACGACTTAGTGCCAAATGTGTTTGATGGTTTTGTCCGGAGCATATCTCTTAAAGTTTACATGCTAGGTTCACCAAACTTCACACACATGTTAATCTTTACCCATTGATGTGCCTTTTGCTATTTTAATTTTTTTTCAGAATTTGTTTTGTTGTTGTTTCCATGGAAACATGACTTGGTGCAAAATGTGTTTGATGGTTACCTTGCCACAGCATATCATCGAAACTATACATGCTAGGTTCACCAAACTTAATACACATGTTAATCATGACCCACAGATATGCCATGTGCTAAAAAATAACAATCTTCATCTACGTCCACTTCATTGTGTGCAACAAGTTCAATTGTATGTCAGGTTTCCACGGAAAACACAAAAAAGTAATGTTTCCATAAATTATTACTGTAATCAGTACATGGCAAAACAATTATCTAACATGTATATAAAGTTTAGTAGAGTCAAAGAGAAAGTCTTGTGAGCTGCTGATCCTTGTCACATTATATATATCAATATCAGTCATTTCCATGTCCCAAAGTGGGAAGCGGGGGTATGTGAGCTGTGCTCACTTCTACACTTGTTTTGTGACTCGTGAGTTTGGTGACAAGATGAAGAGATGAAACTGTCAGAACATCTTCTTTTCAGTTTTGTTTTCCACTATAGAAAAAATCTGTAACCAGTGATGTTTTCGCCTATAGTTTCCTGAGCAGCAATTTCATTTTTGAACTTGACCTTCACATTATGAACATTGATGTCTTGAACACTAATGTAAGTTCTATTCATTGTCCCCTGCCACAAAGTGAGAGGGGGATATAGGAATGGGTGCTGTCCATTTGCCTGACTGTTTTCATGACAGCTTGTCTCTCTGTCATGTTTCTTTTCCAGAGGAAAACCCTTTTTATTCGTTAGGACACTTAGCATTTGTATCAAAAACATGCCTTTTGATGTTTCAGTATTTCTGAGAAGCCAACAGATTTTGTGTGTTCTTAACAACAAACTGACTTTGATACAAATACATGTAGCATTTGTTTCAAGAGAATATCCTGGAAACAGTAAGAATTTTCATTGTGAAATTTAGTGTCAAATCATGTTTATATTTGCTACATCAATAACAATGTCTATTGTATCCTTGGGTGGGATATCAGTCTCTGTGCATTTTATGTCTGTCACTACCCACAGTAATCCTCAAAGTAAAGAAACATTATAAAAGGACTGTGTTGTTCAAACAGCCTAATTTTGCACATAATATATCGAGTAGTATACACGATGGTAGACTAACAACTAGTCTCTGAAATGAACATATTTTACTGAAAAAAGTTCATAGTAAAACAAATAAATATATAATGAAAAGGAGCCCTGAGACTTTCTTCATTTTCAGAAGCTGAGGAAATCTAGACTTGCCACATTTTCTAGACTTGTGTGGGCTTTCTTGGATATGTTTGCTTCAGGGTCTGTACGAGAGACTAACAAGATGGTAGATAATACAAATGTGGTTGGCCATCTTTGATATCCACTCGATCGATACTATACTTTTTTGATAGACCACACGGGGTCAATGGCAAGTTGGTATAAATACCTCACACTGACCTGGCCGGAAAGTTTCTGCTCTTTCTCCCTGCGCGGTGCAGACAATTCGGCAGTCACTGATTTCATTTTAACGACATCGGATGGTTTTTTATTGATTAATCTAGTCACTTCGTTATTGATCGCTGACACAACTGCAGGCACCCATTCCATTGATCATTTATTAGGTGTCACCATTTCATGTGCGTACTGGTGTCCGAACAAACGCCCGGCTAACGTTCGGTTAAACCTCTCCACGATAGATTGACTGCGATGGGCCCCCGCAGTACTGCGCCTGACCTTGACCTCATGCTTGGCTAGCAGCAGCGACACCGATCCCTTGAACTCCGGGGTAACTTGCAATTTGGCAGGCCACGTCAATGGACTGCGTTTGTAGATACGCTCCAGCGCCTTGGCGACTTGAGTCGAATCTTTCACCGTTAACGGCTCGGCCTCTTTGTATCGACTGACGACATCCACAACGGTCAGGGCATACTTGTACATTTTAGCGTCTCACCCTGTCGTGTGCAGGAGAAACAAGAGGTTGGCTTAATGCACTCGATTGGGCGTCGAGATATCGAACTTTCTCCTTGGGACGTATCGGGGTGCTGGCACGTAGATTTGCCACAGTGCTTGTTTTGTAAGCCAAGCCTTAGCAATGTCTTTGGAGACCTTCGCAGTTTTGGCAAACTTGTAGATGGCACCCGCACCTTTCCAGTATCCCCGTGGGCTGTAGTAAATCTTATCCATAAAATCGTTTTATTCATATTCCTCCTTTGTGCCTGTACTCGTAAGTAGTGACACCATCGTCAGCGATCCATCTTTTCGTATCCATCGGCGACAACGATGTTTTGTTCATTCTCAAACCGTATATCCGGTGCTTGTCACTTCTCAGAGTGTTCATTTCGTGTTTGAAGGTTCATCTATCGATCAGGGCCTCTTTGAATTGTTCGTGTTTGATTTGTTCTTTCACGACATATGTTTTCACACCCTTGGCCTTTCTGATTTTCCGCTGTCGGCTTTCTTGATGGAATACATCTTAGGCCTCAATCCGATGTATTCGGCAATCAGGGTCCTGGCACACTCGTTTTTCATTTTCCCAAGCACATTTTTGTTCACTTGGCTGTGCAGGTGTGGTCTTTGGGGTAGTCGCTCGTATAGTACATGTCTATTTTTTCCACCATGTCCGCATAAACGTCCTCGGTACGAATTCCTATCAGCAACGAATCGGTGTCAGTGTACAACACCTCGCATCTATCGCCGTACTGCTTCTTGAGTTCGTTGTAGTAGAAGTCGTACATCAAGTGTTTGAATAAGTCGAGAATGCTCATGCCGACGTAGACGGGTCGGTTGAGCTTGATGTGACTCTTGGCCATGTGCAGCGCCACCAAGTTGTCGTTGAATATCTTGCTTCTGTTGAAGGCCGGGCTCGCTGTCAGTTTCCTGAGTCTTTCTTCCTTGTGAGATCTAGCTAACTTCACATTCACACACTTCCTTTGGTTCATCGATTTGCCGAATACCGAGTTGTTCATGAACTTGAATAGATTCTTTTCGAAATCGCTGGTGGCCTGTTTTCTCAAATCCGTGTTCAGTCTTATCTAAGGTTCCATCCAAGGACTTTGGTCGAACTTGAGAACTCTGTGTATTCTCTTCATCTTCATACCCAGCGAGGGGCGGTTGGGTAGCCTAGTGGTTAAAGCATTGGCTCGTCATGTCGAAGACCCGGGTTCGAATCCCCACATGGGTACAATGTGTGAAGCCCATTTCTGGTGTCCCCCGCCGTGATGTTGCTTGAATATTGCTAAAAGCGGCGTAAAACCAAAACTCAGTCAGTCAGTCATACCCAGCGACAGGTACAGCTGCAGGTTACAATAGTGAACGATGTATTTGGTTTTATCCATCAAGTTCGGTGTGAGTTTTTCCATGTTGGCCAGTTTGTTATTTCCAAACAAGTCTCAT